CCCACCTGGATCGGGGTGTCCTGACCCTCCACGGCCGGAGCCAAGAGCTGGGGGAGACCCAAAATCCTCCCATTTAACCCCAAAATCGAGGCGGGATCCACACCCAAAATCGGCAATTTTTTACCCTCCAAAATCGGGCAATTTACCCCCCAAAAATCCTAATTTTTTTAAGCTCGGAAAGGTTATTTTTAACCCCCCCAAAACGCCTAAAATAATAATTTTTAGCCACCTAAAATAGTTATTTTTTTACCCCAAAATGCTTATTTTTTTAAACCCCCAAAATTATAATTTTTATGCTCAAAAAACGGTAAGTTTTATCACTCAGTGAATTTCACCCCAAAATTGTGGGTTTCACCTCCAAAATGGAAATGTTTGTCCTGGAAATGGTGGTTTTTAAGCCCCAGATGGGCAGGTTTGGGTGCAAAGAGGGTATTTTAGGCATAAAAATGATCGGTTTTGGCCCAAAAATGAAGGGATTTTAGGACAAAAATATTTTGGGTATCAGGTCTACCCGTTAAAGTCAATGGGGGGAAAATGATATCAGGTCTACCCGTCAAAGTCAATGGGGGAAAAAGGACATCAGGTCTACCCGTTAAAGTCAATGGGGGAAAATGATATCAGGTCTACCCGTTAAAGTCAATGGGGAAAAAAAGACATCAGGTCTACCCGTTAAAGTCAATGGGGGAAAAAGGGCATCAGGTCTACCCGTCAAAGTCAATGAGGGAAATAATGGACATCAGGTCTACCCATTAAAGTCAATGGGGGGAAAACGAAATCAGGTCTACCCGTTAAAGTCAATGGGGAAAAAGGACATCAGGTCTACCCGTTAAAGTCAATGGGGCAAAAGGGGCATCAGGTCTACCCGTTAAAGTCAATGGGGAAAAAATGATATCAGGTCTACCCATTAAAGTCAATGGGGGAAATAATGGACATCAGGTCTACCCATTAAAGTCAATGGGGGAAAAAATGATATCAGGTCTACCCGTTAAAGTCAATGGGGCAAAAGGGGCATCAGGTCTACCCGTTAAAGTCAATGGGGAAAAAAAAGTCATCAGGTCTACCCGTTAAAGTCAATGGGGGAAACAATGGGCATCAGGTCTACCCGTTAAAGTCAATGGAGGAAAAAGGACATCAGGTCTACCCGTTAAAGTCAATGGAGGAAAAAGGACATCAGGTCTACCCGTTAAAGTCAATGGGGCAAAAAGGACATCAGGTCTACCCGTTAAAGTCAATGGGGCAAAAAGGACATCAGGTCTACCCGTTTAAGTAAATGGGGAAAAAAGGACATCAGGTCTACCCGTTAAAGTCAATGGGGAAAAAAGGACATCAGGTCTACCCGTTTAAGTAAATGGGGGGAAAACGATATCAGGTCTACCAGTTAAAGTCAATGGGGGGGAAACGACATCAGGTCTACCCGTTAAAGTCAATGGGGGCAAAAAAGGACATCAGGTCTACCCGTTAAAGTCAATGGGGAAAAAAGGACATCAGGTCTACCCGTTAAAGTCATCAGGAGAAAAAGGACATCAGGTCTACCCGTTAAAGTCAATGGGGAAAAAAGGACATCAGGTCTACCCGTTAAAGTCAATGGGGAAAAAAGGATATCAGGTCTACCCGTTAAAGTCAATTGGGTAAAAAGGGACATCAGGTCTACCCGTTAAAGCAAATGGGGGAAGAGGGCATCAGGTCTACCCGTTAAAGTCAATAGGGGGAAATAATGGACATCAGGTCTACCCGTAAAAGTCAATAAGGATAAATGGACATCAGGTCTACCTGTTAAAGTCAATGGGGGAAAAACGACATCAGGTCTACCCATTAGAGTCAATGGGATAAAAAGGACATCAGGTCTACCCGTTAAAGTCAATGGGGAATCAACGGGACATCAGGTCTACCCATTATAGTCAGTAGGGGAAAATGGGGCATCAGCTCTACCCATTTGAGTTAAAGTAAGCTGGGACATCAGGTCTACCTATCAAATTCAATGGGGAGTAACAGGGTATCAGGTCTATGCAATAAAGTCAATGGGGAATGAACTGGACATCAGGTCTACCCATAATAGACAATGGGGCAAGTGGGGCATCAGGTCTACCCATTAAAGATAATGGGACAAAAAGAGGCATCAAATCTACCCATTAAAACCAGCTGGGGCAAATGAGACACCAGGTCTACCCATTAAAACCAACGGGGCAAAATAAGGACATCAGGTCTACCCATTAAAACCAATGGGGCAGATGGGACACCAGGTCTACCCATTGAAACCAACGGGGCAAATGGGACATCAGGTCTACCCATTGAAACCAATGGGGCAGATGGGACACCAGGTCTACCCATGAAACCCAATGGGGCAAAATAAGATATCAGGTCTACCCATTAAACCCAATGGGGCAGAAGGGACACCAGGTCTACCCATTGAAACCAATGGGGCAAATGGGACATCAGGTCTACCCATTGAAACCAATGGGGCAGATGGGACACCAGGTCTACCCATGAAACCCAATGGGGCAAAATAAGATATCAGGTCTACCCATTAAAACCAATGGGGCAGATGGGACACCAGGTCTACCCATTGAAATCAATGGGGCAGATGGGACACCAGGTCTACCCATTGAAACCAATAGGGCAAAATAAGGCATCAGGTCTACCCATTAAACCCAATGGGGCAAAATAAGATATCAGGTCTACCCATTGAAACCAATGGGGCAAAATGAGATATCAGGTCTACCCATTGAAATCAATGGGGCAAAATAAGATATCAGGTCTACCCATTAAAGCCAATGGGGCTCATGGGACACCAGGTCTACCCATTGAAACCAATGGGGCAAAATAAGATATCAGGTCTACCCATTAAACCCAATGGGGCTCATGGGACACCAGGTCTACCCATTGAAACCAATGGGGCAAAATAAGATATCAGGTCTACCCATTAAAGTCAATGGGGCTCATGGGACACCAGGTCTACCCATTGAAATCAATGGGGCAGATGGGACACCAGGTCTACCCATTGAAACCAATGGGGCAAAATAAGGCATCAGGTCTACCCATTAAACCCAATGGGGCAAAATAAGATATCAGGTCTACCCATTGAAACCAATGGGGCAAAATGAGATATCAGGTCTACCCATTGAAATCAATGGGGCAAAATAAGATATCAGGTCTACCCATTAAAGCCAATGGGGCTCATGGGACACCAGGTCTACCCATTGAAACCAATGGGGCAAAATAAGATATCAGGTCTACCCATTAAACCCAATGGGGCTCATGGGACACCAGGTCTACCCATTGAAACCAATGGGGCAAAATAAGATATCAGGTCTACCCATTAAAGTCAATGGGGCTCATGGGACACCAGGTCTACCCATTGAAATCAATGGGGCAGATGGGACACCAGGTCTACCCATTGAAACCAATGGGGCAAAATAAGACATCAGGTCTACCCATTAAAGCCAATGGGGCCAAAGAGACACCAGGTCTACCCATTAAACCCAACGGGACCTACGGACATCAGGTCTACCCATTAAGACCAATGAGGCAAAAAAGTGGCATCAGGTCTACCCATTAAACTCAATGGGGGTCACATGCGGGGTATCCTGGATTTTTTGGGAAGGGGTTATCCCAGGATTTCGGGGGTTGGGGGATCCCCACCGTCAGCGTGAGCTCCGGGTTGTGCAGCCGCACCCGCAGCTCCTTGGCCACCACCTGGCCCGTCTCCTGCACGGCGCCCGCCGCCGTCAGCTTCAGAGCATCCTGGTCACCCACGTGGGGCTGGTACTCGGTGAACGCCACCGCCATCGTCACCGTCTCCTCTGGGGGGATAAAACACCCAGGGGGTCACTCAGGACCCTCCCAGTCCATCCCAGTTCATCCCAGTGACTCCCAGTGACACCCACGTGGGGCTGGTACTCGGTGAACGCCACCGCCATCGTCACCGTCTCCTCTTGGGGGGAAACAGCTTGGGACCCTCCCAGTTCAGCCCAGTGACTCCCAGTTCAGCCCAGTTCATCCCAGTGACTCCCAGTCCATCCTAGTGACTTCCAGTACATCTCAGTCCATCCCAGTGACTCCCAGTGCCTCCCAGTCCATCCCAGTGACTCCCAGTCCATCCCAGTGCCTCCCAGTTCATCCCAGTGCCTCCCAGTCCATCCCAGTGCCTCTCAGTCCATCCCAGTGACTCCCAGTTCAGCCCAGTCCATCCCAGTGACTTCCAGTCCATCTCAGTCCATCCCAGTGACTCTCAGTGCCTCCCAGTTCATCCCAGTGATTCCCAGTCCATCCCAGTCCATCCCAGTGCCTCCCAGTTCATCCCAGTGACTCCCAGTTCAGCCCAGTCCATCCCAGTGACTCCCAGTGACTCCCAGTGACTCCTAGTCCATCCTAGTTCATCCTAGTTCATCCCAGTGACTCCCAGTGACTCCCAGTCCATCCCAGTTCATCCCAGTCCATCCCAGTCCATCCCAGTGACACCCACATGGGGCTGGTACTCGGTGAACGCCACCGCCATCGTCACCGTCTCCTCTGAGGGGGAAACACCTTGGGACCCTCCCAGTTCATCCCAGTGACTCCCAGTGACTCCTAGTGCATCCTAGTGACTTCCAGCACATCTCAGTCCATCCCAGTGACTCCCAGTGCCTCCCAGTCCATCCCAGTGCCTCCCAGTCCATCCCAGTGACTCCCAGTTCATCCCAGTGACTCCCAGTTCATCCCAGTGACTCCTAGTCCATCCTAGTTCATCCCAGTGACTCCCAGTTCATCCCAGTGACTCCCAGTCCATCCCAGTGACTCCCAGTTCAGCCCAGTGACTCCCAGTTCATCCCAGTGACTCCCAGTTCATCCCAGTGACTCCCAGTTCATCCCAGTGACTCCCAGTCCATCCTAGTTCATCCCAGTGACTCCCAGTTCATCCCAGTGACTCCCACATGGGGCTGGTACTCGGTGAACGCCACCGCCATCGTCACCGTCTCCTCTGGGGGGGGAAAACACACCTTGGGACCCTCCCAGTCCATCCCAGTGACTCCCAGTGACTCCCAGTTCACCCCAGTGACTCCCAGTGACTCCCAGTGACACCCACGTGGGGCTGGTACTCGGTGAACGCCACCGCCATCGTCACCGTCTCCTCTGGGGGGGGGGAAACACACCTTGGGACCCTCCCAGTTCATCCCAGTGACTCCCAGCCCATCCCAGTGACTCCCAGTGACTCCCAGTGACTCCCACATGGGGCTGGTACTCAGTGAACGCCACCGCCATCGTCACCGTCTCCTCTGGGGGGGGAAAACACCCAGGGGGACACTCAGGACCCTCCCAGTCCATCCCAGTGCATCCCAGTGCCTTCCAGTGACTCCCAGTTCATCCCAGTGACTCCCAGTGACTCCCAGTGACTCCCAGTTCAGCCCAGTGACTCCCAGTGACTCCCAGTGACTCCCACATGGGGCTGGTACTTGCTGAACGCCACCGCCATCGTCACCGTCTCCTCTGGGGGGGGAAACACACCTTGGGACCCTCCCAGTCCATCCCAGTGACTCCCAGTTCAGCCCAGTGACTCCCAGTGACTCCTAGTCCATCCCAGTTCATCCCAGTGACTCCCAGTCTATGCCAGTGACTCCCAGTCCATCCCAGTGACTCCCAGTCCATCCCAGTGACTTCCAGTACATCTCAGTTCATCCCAGGGACTCCCAGTGCCTCCCAGTCCATCCCAGTGACTCCTAGTCCATCCCAGTTCATCCCAGTGACTCCCAGTGACTCCCAGTGCCCCCCAATCCCCTCCCAGTTCCCCCCACCGCCATTGTCACCGTCTCCTCTGCGGGTGACTCACCTAGTGACCGTTCCAGTCCATCCCAGTGACTCCCAGTTCATCCCAGTGACTCCCAGTGACTCCCAGTCCATCCCAGTCCATCCCAGTGCCTCCCAGTGCCTCCCAGTCCATCCCAGTGCCATCTCAGTCCATCCCAGTCACTCCCAGTTCATCCCAGTGACTCCCAGTTCATCCCAGTGACTCCCAGTGACTCCCAGTGACTCCCAGTGACTCCTAGTTCATCCCAGTTCATCCCAGTTCATCCCAGTGACTCCCAATCCCAGTGACTCCCAGTCCATCCCAGTCCCCTCCCAATCCCCTCCCAGTCCCTCCCAGTGCCCCCCAATCCCCTCCCAGTCCCTCCCCGTCCCTCCCAGTCCCTCCCAGTGCCCCCCAGTGTCCCCCAGGCTCACCCTCTCCCGGGGGCAGCGTCCTGCGGTGCTGCTCCTGCCGGAAGGGGGCTCCGGCCACGCCGGTGTAGCGGACGGCGCAGAGCGAGAGGCGGAGCCGGACGGTTCGAGGCTCCACCCCCTGGTTCCTCAGCACCGCCCGCAGCTCCAGCTCCGCCCCCGCCACCGCCGGCCCCGCCCCCACCCTCAGCGACACCTCCCCCGACGAGGGGCGCCGCGGTTGCGGGGACGGGAGCCGTGGGCCGTGGCCGTGGAGACCGCGCGGCGCTCCTCCTCCGAGCCTGGGGGGAGGGGCAAGGGTTGGGGCAAGAAATCAAGGGTTGGGTCAAGAAATCAATGGTTGGGTCAAGAAATCAAGGGTTGGGTCAAGAAATCAAGGGTTGGGTCAAGGGGTCAAGGGTTGGGTCAAGAAATCAATGGTTGGGTCAATGGTTGGGTCAAGAAATCAAGGGTTGGGTCAAGAAATCAATGGTTGGGTCAAGGGGTCAAGGGTTGGGTCAATGGTTTGGTCAAGACTTGGGGCAAGGGTTGGGTCAAGAAATCAAGGGTTGGGTCAATGGTTGGGTCAAGGGGGCAAGGGTTGGGTCAAGGGGGCAAGGGCTGGGTCAAGAAATCAATGGTTGGGTCAAGAGGGCAAGGGTTGGGTCAAGGTGTCAGTGGTTGGGTCAAGAAATCAATGGTTGGGTCAAGGGGTCAAGGGTTGGGTCAAGGGGTCAATGGTTGGGTCAAGGGTTGGGTCAAGGGGTCAATGGTTGGATCAAGGGGTGAAGGGTTGGGTCAAGGGGGCATAGGTTGGGTCAAGAAGTCAATGGTTGGGTCAAAAAATCAATGGTTGGGTCAAGGGGTCAATAGTTGGGGCAAGGGGGCAAGGGTTGGGTCAAGGGGGTAAGGGCTGGGGCAAGAAGTCAACGGTTGGGTCAATGGTTGGGTCAAGAGGGCAAGGGTTGGGTCAAGGGGTCAGTGGTTGGGTCAAGAAATCAATGGTTGGGTCAAGGAGTCAAGGGTCGGGTCAAGGAGTCAAGGGTTGGGTCAAGGGAGCAAGGGTTGGGTCAAGGGGTCAATGGTTGGGTCAAGAAATTAATGGTTGGGTCAAGGGGTCAATGGTTGGGTCAATGTTGGGTCAAGAGGGCAAGGGTTGGGTCAAGGGGTCAGTGGTTGGGTCAATGGCTTAGGTCAAGGGGGCAAGGGTTGGGTCAAGGGGGCAAGGGTTGGGTCAAAGGTTGGGTCAAGGGGGCAATGGTTGGGTCAATGGTTGGGTCAAGGAGTCAAAGGTTGGGTCAAGGGATCGAGGGTTGGGTCAAGAAATCAATGGTTGGGTTAAGGGGTCAGTGGTTGGGCCACAAAGTCAATGGTTGGGTCAATGGTTGGGTCAAAAGGTCAAGGGTTGGGTCAAGGGGTCAAGGGTTGGGTCAAGGGGTCAAGGGTTGGGTCAAGGGGTCAAGGGTTGGGTCAAGGGGTCAAGGGTTGGGTCAAGGGGTCAAGGGTTGGGTCAATGGTTGGGTCAATGGTCGGGTCAATGGTTGGGTCAAGTATTGGGTCAAACGGTCAATGGTTGGGTCAAGGGGTCAATGGCCAGGTCAAGAGTTGGGGAAAAGGTTGGGTCAATGGTTGCATCGATGGCTGGGTCAATGAGTCAATGGTCAGGTCAGGGGATCAATGGCCGGGTCAATGGGTCAATGACCAGGTCAATGGATCAATGGTTGGGTCAGTGGGTCAATGGCTGGGTCAATGGTTCAATGGTTGGGTCAGTGGGTCAATGGCTGGGTTAAGGGATCAATGGTTGGGTGAAGGTGTCAATGACTGGGTCAATGGCCAGGTCAAGGGATCAATGTCCAGGTCAATGGTTCAATGGTTGGGTCAGTGGGTCAATGACAGGTCAATGGGTCAATGGCTGTGTGAAGGTGTCAATGACTGGCTCAATGGCCAGGTCAAGGGGTCAATGGCCATGTGAAGAGGTCAATGGGCGGTTGAGTGGTCAGGTGAAGGGGTCAATGGCCAGGTCAATGGTTGGGTCAATGGTTGGGTTAAGGGTTGGGTCAAGGGCTCAAGGGTTGGGTCAATGGTTGGCTCAAAGGGTCAATGGATGGGTCAATGGTCGGGTCAAAGGGTCAATGACCAGGTGAAGGTGTCAATGGCCAGGTCAATGGTTGGGTCAATGGTTGGGTCAAGGGTTGGGTCAATGGTTGGGTCAAGGGTTGGGTCAAGGGTTGGGTCAAGGGTTGGGTCAATGATTGGCTCAAAGGGTCAATGACCAGGTGAAGGTGTCAATGGCCAGGTCAATGGTTGGGTCAAGGGTTGGGTCAAGGGTTGGGTCAAGGGTTGGGTCAATGATTGGCTCAAAGGGTCAATGACCAGGTGAAGGTGTCAATGGCCAGGTCAATGGTTGGGTCAATGGTTGGGTCAAGGGTTGGGTCAAGGGTTGGGTCAACGGTTGGTTCAAAGGGTCAATGGATGGGTCAATGGATGGGTCAATGGATGGGTCAATGGTTGGGTCAAGGGCTCAATGACCAGGTCAAGGTGTCAATGGCCAGGTCAAGGGGTCAATGGCCAGGTGAGTGGTCAGGTCAAGGTGTCAATGACCAGGTCAATGAGTCAATGGCCAGGTCAAGGTGTCAATGGTTGGGTCAAAGGGTCAATGGTTGGGTCAGTGGTTGAATCAATGGGTCAATGGCCAGGTCAATGGGTCAATGGTTGGGTCAGTGGTTGGGTCAAGGGTCAATGGTTGGGTCAAGGGCTGGGTCAGTGGTTGAGTCAGTGGTTGGGTCAAGGGATCAAGAGTTGGGTCAATGGTTGGGTCAATGGTTGGGTCAATGGTTGGGTCAATGGTTGGGTCAATGGCCAGGTCAAGTGGTCAATGGCCAGGTCAATGGGTCAATGGCCAGGTCAATGGGTCAATGGCCAGGTCAATGGGTCAATGGTCAGGTCAAGTGGTCAATGGCCAGATCAATGGGTCAATGGTTGGGTCAATGGGTCAATGGTTGGGTCAATGGCTAGGTCAAGGTGTCAATGACGAGGTCAATGGGTCAATGACCAGGTCAAGTGGTCAATGGGTCAGTGGTCAGCCAGTCTCACCCTCGGGGTGCTTGTACTGGTGGGTGACGTCGAGCCGCGCGGCGGAGCCGGCGCCGAGGGTGCTGATGCGGCGGCCGATGGCCCCCTCCTCCACGTGCACCACCGCGAAGGCCCCGCCCGGCTGCCGCTGCCAGTACACCTTGTCGCTGTTCACCTGCGGCCACGCCCCTCATTAGCATCAATTGCATCTCATTAGCATCTCATTTGCATCTCATTAGCGTAAATTTGCATCCCGGAGCCACGCCCCCACCTCGGCGAAGACGAAGGGCGTGTCGTACTTGAGGAAGACCTCGCCGTTCTTCACCGCCGTCACCGAGCACGGCCCGCAGCAGAACAGGCCTGGGGGGACCAGCACGGACCAGTATGGACCAGTAAGAAACCAGTAAGAACCAGTAGAAACCACTATAGACCACTATGGACCAGTACGGATTATTACAGACCAGTATGGGGTCATCACAACTTCCTGAGGGCCTGGGGTGGTTCCCCAGGGTCCCCTCCCAGTATAGACCAGTACGGACCAGTATGGACCAGTAAGAAACCAGTAAGAACCAGTAGAAACCACTATAGACCAGTAGGGACCAGTACGGATTATTACAGACCAGTATGGGGTCATCACAACTTCTTGAGGGCCTGGGGTGGTTCCCCAGGGTCTCCTACCAGTATAGACCAGTATGGACCAGTATAGACCAGTATGGACCAGTATGGACCGGTATAGACCAGTATGAACCAGTATAAACCATTATGAACCAGTATAGACCAGTATGGGCCAGTGTGCACCAGTATGGGGTCCTCACAAGCTACTGGACCCCTCTGGTGGCTCCCCAGGGTCCCCTCCCAGTATAAACCAGTATAGACCAGTATGGACCAGCATGGACCAGTATGAAACAGTATGGACCAGTAGAAACCAGTATAAACCAGTATAGACCAGTAGAAACCAGTATGGGCCAGCATGGACTAGTATGGACCAGTACAAACCAGTAAGGGGTCATCACAACTTCCTGAGGGCCTGTGGTGGTTCCCCAGGGTCCCCTCCCAATATAAACCAGTATAGACCAGTATGAACCAGTATGAACCAGTATGGGCCAGTATGGACCAGTATAGCCCAGTATGGACCAGTATGGACCAGCATAACCCAGTAAGGACCAGTGTGGGGTCCTCACAACCTGCTGGGCCCCTCTGGTGGCTCCCCAGGGTCCCCTCCCAGTATAAACCAGTATAAACCAGCCCAAACCAGCCCAAACCAGTATAAACCAGTATAAACCAGTATAAACCAGTTACCGCTGCTGGTCTCCTGGGGGGTGGCGTCCACCACCTGCCACCCATCGTAGCCATCGGGCAGGTCCGGCCGCTTCATCCAGCAGTCGTTCCACACGTGGAAGTTCCTGTATAAACCAGTATAAACCAGTATAAACCAGTATGGACCAGTATAAACCAGTATGAACCAGTACGGACCAGTATAAACCAGTACGGGCAAAAGATGGGTTTACCCCCCACTCTGGAGCCTCCCAGTAACTCCCAGCAGCTCCCAGTCCCTCCTGACCCCCTCCCAGTACCAAACCAGTATAAACCAGTATAAACCAGTATGAACCAGTATGGACCAGTATGGACCAGTATGGAAACCATGTCTTGGTTTATCCCCCCACTCTGGAGCCTCCCAGTCACTCCCAGTCCCTCCCAGTAACTCCCAGTAACTCCCAGTCCTGACTGAGCCCCCTCCCAACCCCAAACCAGTATAAACCAGTATAAACCAGTATAAACCAGTATAAACCAATACGGACAAAAGATGGGTTTACCCCCCACTCTGGGGCCTCCCAGTGCCTCCCAGTCCCTCCCAGTTTATCTCAGTAACCCCCAAACCCCCTCCCAGCCCCAAACCCGTATAAACCAGTATAAACCAGTATAAACCAGTATGGACAAACCACACCTCAGGATGGGTCTCCCCTCCACTTTAGACCCTCCCAGTGCCTCCCAGTGCCTCCCAGTTCATCCCAGTGCCTCCCAGTTCATCCCAGTGCCCCCCAATCCCCTCCCAGTGCCTCCCCAGTCCCCTCCCAGCCCCAAACCAGTATAAACCAGTATAAACCAGTACCAGACGGAGTCGGTGTTGAGGCGCTCCAGGGGCCTCCTGCTCTCCTCCAGTGCCTCCCAGTGCCTCCCAGTGCCCCCCAATCCCCTCCCAGTGCCCCCCTGACCCCTCCCAGTACCAAACCAGTATAACCCAGTATAAACCAGTATAAACCAGTATGGACAAAACACACTTCAAAACAGGTCTATCTCCACTTCAGAATCTCCCAGTGCCTCTCAGTGCCTCCCAGTTCATCCCAGTTCATCCCAGTGCCCCCCAATCCCCTCCCAGTGCCCCCCTGACCCCTCCCAGCCCCAAACCAGTATAACCCAGTATAAACCAGTATGGACAAAACACACTTCAAAACAGGTCTATCTCCACTTCAGACCCTCCCAGTGCCTCCCAGTGCCTCCCAGTTCATCCCAGTAACCCCCAATCCCCTCCCAGTCCCTCCCCGACCCCTCCCAGTGCCAAACCAGTATAAACCAGTATAAACCAGTACCAGACGGAGTCGGTGTTGAGGCGCTCCAGGGGCCTCCTGCTCTCCTCCAGTGCCTCCCAGTGCCTCCCAGTGCCTCCCAGTTCATCCCAGTGCCTCCCAATCCCCTCCCAGTGCCCCCCAATCCCCTCCCAGCCCCAAACCAGTATCAAACCAGTATAAACCAGTATAACCAGTACCAGACGGAGTCGGTGTTGAGGCGCTCCAGGGGCCTCATGCTCTCATCGAAGTAGATGTCGGTGGTGAGCGACACGTCCGTGTCGTGGGCGGAGTTGTAGTTGGTGACCGTGCGGGTGGGGAGGCCCAGGCAGCGCAGCACTGACCAGTATAAACCAGTATAAACCAGTATGGACCAGTACAGACAGGTATGCACCAGTATAAACCATTATAAACCAGTATAAATCAGTATGGACCAGTACGGACCAGTAGGGACCAGTATGGACCAGTTGGTGACCGTGCGGGTGGGGAGGCCCAGGCAGCGCAGCACTGACCAGTATAAACCAGTATAAACCAGTATGGACCAGTACAGACCGATACAGACCGGTATAAACCGTTATAAACCAGTATAAAACAGTATGAACCAGTATGGACCAGTACGGACCAGTTAGTGACCGTCGCGGGTGGGGAGGCCCAGGCAGCGCAGCACTGACCAGTACAGACCAGTATAAACCAGTATGGACCAGTACAGACCGATACAGACCGGTATAAACCGTTATAAACCAGTATAAAACAGTATGAACCAGTAGGGACCAGTAGGGACCAGTATGGACCAGTTGGTGACCGTGCGGGTGGGGAGGCCCAGGCAGCGCAGCACTGACCAGTATAAACCAGTATAAACCAGTATGGACCAGTATGGACTGATATAAACCAGTACAGACCAGTATAAAACAGTACAGAGTGATAGAAACCAGTAGGGACCAGTAGGGACCAGTACGGACCAGTTGGTGACCGTGCGGGTGGGGAGGCCCAGGCAGCGCAGCACTGACCAGTATAAACCAGTATAAACCAGTATGGACCAGTATGGACCGGTATAAACCAGTACAGACCAGTATAACCCAGTATAAATCAGTATGGACCAGTATGGGCCAGTACGGACCAGTATGGACTAGTATCGACCAGTAGGGACCTCTCCTTGGGACCTCCCAGTATAAACCAGTATAGACCAGTATGGACCAGTACGGACTGATATAAACCAGTACAGACCGGTATAAACCAGTATGGACCAGTATGGACCAGTATGGACCAGTTGGTGACCGTGCGGGTGGGGAGGCCCAGGCAGCGCAGCACTGACCAGTACAGACCAGTATGAACCAGTATGGACCAGTACAGACTGATATAAACCAGTACAGACCATTATAAACCAGTATAAACCATTATAAACCAGTATAAATCAGTATATACCAGTATGGACCAGTATGGACCAGTTGGTGACCGTGCGGGTGGGGAGGCCCAGGCAGCGCAGCACTGACCAGTACAGACCAGTATAAACCAGTATGGACCAGTATGGACTGGTATAAACCAGTACAGACCAGTATAAACCAGTATGGACCAGTATGGACCAGTATGGACCAGTTGGTGACCGTGCGGGTGGGGAGGCCCAGGCAGCGCAGCACTGACCAGTACAGACCAGTATGGACCAGTACAGACTGATATAAACCAGTACAGACCGGTATAAACCACTACAGAGTGATAGAAAGCAGTATGGACCAGTATGGACCAGTATGGACCAGTTGGTGACCGTGCGGGTGGGGAGGCCCAGGCAGCGCAGTACTGACCAGTACAAACCAGTATAAACCAGTATGGACCAGTACAGACTGATATAAAGCAGTACAGACCAGTATAAACCAGTATAAATCAGTATGGACCAGTATGGACCAGTACGGACCAGTAGGGACCAGTTGGTGACCGTGCGGGTGGGGAGGCCCAGGCAGCGCAGCACTGACCAGTATAAACCAGTATAAACCAGTATGGACCAGTACAGACTGGTATGCACCAGTATAAACCGTTATAAACCAGTATAAATCAGTATGGACCAGTATGGACCAGTATGGACCAGTACAGACCAGTATAGACCAGTAGGAACCAGTATAGGCCAGTAGGGACCTCTCCTTGGGAGCTCCCAGTATAAATCAGTATAGACCAGTATGGACCAGTATAGACCAGTATGGACCAGTATAGACCAATATGGACCAATAGGGACCAGTATGGGCCAGTAGGGACCTCTCCTTGGGAGCTCCCAGTATAAACCAGTATAGACCAGTATGGACCAGTACGGACCGGTACAGACCAGTATAAACCAGTACAGAGTGATAGAAACCAGTATGGACCAGTATGGACCAGTATGGACCAGTATAGGCCAGTAGGGACCTCTCCTTGGGACCTCCCAGTATAAACCAGTATGGACCAGTACGGACCAGTATGAACCAGTATAAACCAGTATAAACCAGTATAAACCAGTATGGACCAGTAGGAACCAGTAAAGACCAGTATAGACCAGTATGGACCAGTAGGGACTTCTCCTTGGGACCTCCCAGTATGGACCAGTATAGACCACTATGGACCAGTATGGACTGATATAAACCAGTACAGACCGGTATAAACCAGTATAAATCAGTATGAGCCAGTATGGACTACTAGGGACCAGTATGGACCAGTAGGGACCAGTATGGACCAGTAAAGGCCAGTAGGGACCTCTCCTTGGGACCTCCCAGTATAGACCAGTATGGACCAGTATGGACCAGTATAAACCAGTATGGACCAGTAGGGGGCTGGCTCATCTACCAGTACGTGACAGAGCCCTCCCAGTTCAATCCAGTGCCCTGACCAGTATAGACCAGTATGGACTCCCCAGTGCCCTCCCAGTCCCTCCCAGTAACTCCCAGTAACTCCCAGTAACTCCCAGTGACCCCCAGACCCCAAACCAGTAACTCCCAGTATAAACCAGTGACTCCCAATCCCCTCCCAGTCCCTCCCAGTAACTCCCAGTATAATCCAGAGCCCAAACCAGTAACTCCCAGTATAAACCAGTAATTCCCAGTAACTCCCAGTGCCCCCAAATCCCCCCCTAAACTCCCTCCCAGTCCAAACCAGTGCCCCCCAATCCCCTCCCAGTCCCTCCCAGTAACTCCCAGTAACTCCCAGTGACCCCCAGACCCCAAACCAGTAACTCCCAGTATAAACCAGTAACTCCCAATCCCCTCCCAGTCCCTCCCAGTGCCCTCAAATCCCCCCTAAACCCCCTTTAACTCCTTCCTAGTCCAAACCAGTCCAAACCAGTTTGTTCCAACTCCCTCCCAGTCCCTCCCAGTGCCCCCCAGTGCCCTCCCAGTACCCTCCCAGTATAAACCAGTAACTCCAAACTCCAAACCAGTCCCTCCCAGTCCCTCCCAGTTACCCCCAATCCCCTCCCAGTGCCCTGAAATCCCCCCTAAACCCCCTTTAACTCCCTCCCAGTGACTCCCAGTCCAAACCAGTGCCCCCAAATCCCCTCCCAGTCCCTCCCAGTGCCTCCCAGTGCCCTCCCAGTGCCTCCCAGTACAAACCAGTGCTCACCAGTGGTCATGACCCCGGCGAACACCCAGCACTGGCCGTACCGGACAGGGCTCCCAGAGCCTCCCAGTGCCCTCCCAGTCCAAACCAGTGACCCCCAATCCCCTCCCAGTAACTCCCAGTAAATCCCAGTGACTCCCAGACCCCAAACCAGTAACTCCCAGTATAAACCAGTAACTCCAAACCCCAAACCAGTCCCTCCCAGTGACCCCAGATCCCCTCTAATCCCCCTTTAACTCCCTCCCAGTCCAAACCAGTGCCCCCAAATCCCCTCCCAGTGACTCCCAGTCACTCCCAGTGACCCCCAGACCCCAAACCAGTAACTCCCAGTACAAACCAGTGCTCACCAGTGGTCATGACGCCTGCGAACACCCAGCACTGGCCGTACCGGACGGGGCTCCCGGAGCTGAGGAAGCTCCTGAGGATCCCAACGGAGCCGGCCCAGGCCGAGGGGTTCGTGCCCTGGGAATAATCCCCGGTCCAGTTCCCCACCAGCACCCCGTTGTCATCCAGGGAGTTCACCTGGGATGAAAAAAAATGGGAATTCTGGTCGGGAATGAGCCCAAAATCCTCGGGAATCAACCCAAAAATTGACAGCAATCAGAGCAAGAATTGACGGGAAAATGAACCCAAAAATTGGTGGGAAATGAGGTTAAAAATCAACCAAAATGGACCCAAAATGGATGGGGACGACCCTAAAAATCATCTCAGGATCCTGAAATTCGTCTTGGGGTTCCCCAAATTCATCCTAGGGTCCCAAAATTATCCTGGGATGACCCAAAATCCTCGGGAATCAACCCAAAAATTGACCGGAATCAGAGCAAGAATTGACGGGAAAATGAGGTGGAAAATTGATGCAAAATGAGGTTGAAAATTGACCAAAATGGGCTCAAAAACCCCGTTGTCGTCCAGGGAGTTCACCTGGGGTGGGAAAAACGGGAATTCTGGTCGGGAATGAACCCAAAATCCTCGGGAATCAACCCAAAAATCGACCGGAATCAGAGCAAAAATTGACGGGAAAATGAGGTCGAAAATTGACCAAAATGGGCCCAAAATGGATGGGAATGACCCTAAAAGTCATCTCAGGATCCTGAAATTCATCCTGGGGTTCCCAAAATTATCCTGGGATGACCCAAAATCCTCGGGAATCAGCCCAAAAATTGACAGCAATCAGCCCAAAAATTGACGGGAAAATGAGACAGAAAATTGATGGGAAATGAGGTGGAAAATCGACAAGAATGAACCCAAAATCAAGTGGAATGGGCTCAAAAACCCCGTTGTCGTCCAGGGAGTTCACCTGGGATTGGGATGGAGAAAAAAAATGGGAATTCTGGTTGGGAAAGGACCCAAAATCCTCGGGAATCAACCCAAAAATTGACAGCAATCAGAGCAAAAATCGACGGGAAAATGAGGTCGAAAATTGATGGGAATGAACCCAAAATGGATGGGAATGAGCCCAAAATCAACTGGAATGGGCTCAAAAACCCCGTTGTCGTCCAGGGAGTTCACCTGGGACAAAAAAATGGGAATTCTGGTCGGGAATGAACCCAAAATCCTCGGGAATCAACCCAAAAATTGACCGGAATGAACCCAGAAATTGACAGGAAAATGAGGTTGAAAATTGAGGGGAAATGAGGTCAAAAATCAACCAGAATGGGCCCAAAATGGACGGCAATGACCCTAAAAGTCATCTCAGGATCCTGAAATTCATCCTGGGGTTCCCAAAATTATCCTGGGATGACCCAAAATTGTCAGGAATGAGCCCAAAAATCGACGGGGAAATGAGGTCGAAAATTGATGGGAAAATGAGGTGGAAAATCGACAAGAATGGGTCAAAATTTGAAGGGAAATGAGCTCAAAAACCCCGTTGTCATCCAGGGAGTTCACCTGGGATTGGGATGGGGAAAAAAAATGGGAATTTTGGTTGGGAAAGGACCCAAAATCATCAGGAATCAGCCCAAAAATTGACAGGAATGAACCCGAAAATTGATGGGAATGAACCCAAAAATCGACAGGAAAATGAGGTCAAAAATCAACCAGAATGGGCCCAAAATGGAAGGGAATGACCTTAAAAGTCATCTCAGGATCCTGAAATTCGTCCTGGGGTTCCCAAAATTATCCTGGGATGACCCAAAATCCTCGGGAATCAACCCAAAAATCGATGGGAAAATGAGGTCAAAAATCAACCAGAATGGGTCCAAAAAATGACAAGAAAATGAGGTGGAAAATTGACAAAAATGAACCCAAAATCAACTGGAATGGGCTCAAAAACCCCGTTGTCGTCCAGGGAGTTCACCTGGGATGGAAAAATTGGGAATTCTGGTCGGGAATGAACCCAAAATCCTCGGGAATCAACCCAAAAATCGACCGGAATCAGAGCAAAAATCGACGGGAAAATGAGGTGGAAAATTGAGGGGAATGAACCCAAAATTCATCTCAAGATCCTGAAATTCATCCTAAGATTCCTGAAACTCACGCTCCAGTTCCCAAAATTCATCCTGGGGTTCTCAAAATTATCCTGGGATGACCCAAAATCCTCGGGAATCAACCCAAAAATCGAGGGGAAAATGAGGTGGAAAATTGATGGAAAATGAGGTCAAAAATCAACCAGAATGGGCCCAAAATGGATGGGAATGACCCTAAAAGTCATCTCAGGATCCTGAAATTCATCCTGGGGTTCCCAAAATTATCCTGGAATGACCCAAAATCCTCGGGAATGAACCCAAAAATCGATGGGAAAATGAGGTCAAAAATCAACCAGAATGGGTCCAAAAAATGACAAGAAAATGAGGTGGAAAATTGACAGGAATGAACCCCAAAATCAACTGGAATGGGCTCAAAAACCCCGTTGTCGTCCAGGGAGTTCACCTGGGATGGGAAAAATGGGAATTCTGGTCGGGAATGAACCCAAAATCCTCGGGAATCAACCCAAAAATTGACAAAAATCAGAGCAAAAATTGACGGGAAAATGAGGTGGAAAATTGATGGGAAATGAGGTTGAAAATTGATAGGAATGGGTCAAAAATTGAAGGGAAATGGGCTCAAAAACCCCGTTGTCGTCCAGGGAGTTCACCTGGGATGGGAAAAAATGGGAATTCTGGTCGGGAATGAACCCAAAATCCTCGGGAATCAGCCCAAAAATTGACAGGAATGAGCTCAAAAATCGACGGGAAAATGAGATCAAAAATCAACCAGAATGGGCCCAAAATGGAAGGGAATGACCTTAAAAATCATCTCAGGATCCTGAAATTCGTCTTGGGGTTCCTGAAATTCATCCTGGGGTTCCCAAAATTATCCTGGGATGACCCAAAATCCTCAGGAATGAACCCAAAAATCGATGGGAAAATGAGGTCAAAAATCAACCAGAATGGGTCCAAAAAATGACAAGAAAATGAGGTGGAAAATTGACAAGAATGAGCTCCGAAATCAACTGGAATGGGCTCAAAAACCCCGTTGTCGTCCAGGGAGTTCACCTGGGACGAAAAAAATGGGAATTCTGGTTGGGAATGAACCCAAAATCCTCGGGAATCAACCCAAAAATTGACCGGAATCAGAGCAAAAATCGAGGGGAAAATGAGGTGGAAAATTGAGGGGAAATTAACTCAAAAATTCATCTCAAGATCCCGAAATTCATCCTGGGATTCCTGAAATTCACTCTGGGATTCCCAAAATTCATCCTGGGGTTCTCAAAATTATCCTGGGATGACCCAAAATTGTCGGGAATGAGCCCAAAAACTGACAGGAATCAGCCCAAAAATCGACGGGAATGAGACAGAAAATTGATGGGAAAATGAGGTGGAAAATTGACAAGAATGAACCCCAAAATCAACTGGAATGGGCTCAAAAACCCCGTTGTCGTCCAGGGAGTTCACCTGGGATGGAGATGGGGAAAAAAAATGGGAATTGTGGTTGGGAATGAACCCAAAATCCTCAGGAATCAACCCAAAAATTGACAGGAATCAGCTCAAAAATCGACGGGAAAATGAGGTGGAAAATTGACCAGAATGAACCCAAAATCAATGGGAATGACCCTAAAAGTCATCTCAGGATCCTGAAATTTGTCCTGGGGTTCCTGAAATTCATCCCGGGGTTCCCAAAATTATCCTGGGATGACCCAAAATCGTCAGGAATGAGCCCAAAAATCGACGGGAAAATGAGGTCAAAATTCAACCAGAATGAACCCAAAAATTGACGGGAAAATGAGGTGGAAAATCGACAGGAATGGGTCAAAATTTGAAAGGAAATGAGCTCAAAAACCCTGTTGTGGTCCAGGGAGTTCACCTGGGATGGGAATGGGGAAAAAAAATGGGAATTTTGGTTGGGAATGAACCCAAAATCCTCGGGAATGAACCCAAAAATTGACAGGAATCAGCACAAGAATCGAGGGGAAAATGAGGTCAAAAATTGATGGGAAATGAGGTCAAAAATCAACCAGAATGGGCCCAAAATGGAAGGGAATGACCCTAAAAGTCATCTCAGGATCCTGAAATTCATCTTGGGGTTCCCAAAATTATCCTGGGACGACCCAAAATCCTCGGGAATGAGCCCAAAAATCGACGGGAAAATGAGGTGGAAAATCGGTGGGAAAATGAGGTGGAAAATTGACTGGAAATGAGGTCGAAAAATCGACAGGAATGGGACCAAAATTCATCTCAGGATCCCAGAATTCATCCTGGGATTCCCAAAATTCATCTTGGGATTCTCAAAAATACACTGGGATGAGCCAAAATCGTCCCAAATTCCCCCAAAACTCCCCCAAACCCCCTCAAATCCTCCCCAATCCTTCCCAAATCCCCCCCAAATCCTCCCAAATCCTTCCCAAATCCCCCCCAACTCCCCCCAATCCCAAAAATTCACCCCCAAACTCCCTCAAATCCCCTCAAATCCCCCAAATTCCCCAAAATCCCCCAAAATCCCAAATCCCCCATAAACTCTAAATATCCCCCATAAATCCAAGATATCTCCCCCAAATCTCCCTAAATCCCCCCAAATCCCAAAAATTCCCCAAAATCCCCAAATCCCAAAAATCCCCCAAATCCCTCCCAAATCCCCCAAAATTCCCCCAAATCCCCCCAAATCCTCTTCAAATCCTCCTCAAACCCCCCAAATCGTCCCCAAATCCCAAAATCCCCCAAATCCCAAAAATTCCCCCAACCCCCCAAATCCCCCAGTCCCAAAAATCCCCAAACCCCCCAAAATCCCCTCAAATCCCCCAAATCCCCAAAATCCTCCCAAAATCCTCCCAAATCCCCCCAAATCTCCTCAAACTCCCCAAATTCCCCCAAAATCCCCAAATCCCCCAAATCCCCCAAATCCCCTGAAATCCTCCCAAATCCCCAAAATTCCCCCAAATCCCTCAAAATCTCCCCAGATCCCCCAAAACCCACCTCAACCCCAATCCCCAAAATTCACCCAAATCCCTCAATTCCCCCAAATCCCCCAAATCCTCTCAAATCTCCCCAAAACCACACCATAAATCCTAAATATCCCCCAAATCCCCCCAAAACCGCCTCAAATGCCTCCAAATCCCCAAAATCCCCCAATCCCAAAATCCCCCCAAATCCCCAAAATCCCCCAAAATCCCCCCTCAAACCTCCCCAAAATCCCCCCAAAATCCCCTCAAATCCTCCAAATCCCCAAATTCCCCACAAAATCCACTCAAAATCCCCCAAATCCCCCAAAATCCCCCAAATCCCCCAAAATCCCCAAAATCCCCTCGAAATCCCACAAATTCGCCCCAAATCCCCCAAAGTCCCCTCAAATCCCACCCAAAATCCCCTCAAATCTCCCTAATATCCCCCAAATTCCCCCAAATCCCCTCAAATCCCCCAAATCTCCCTCAAATCCCTCAAATCCCCCAAATCCCCCAAATCCCCAAATCCCCCAAATCCCCCAAATCCCCAAAGTTCTCCCCAAACCTCCTCAAATCCCCTCAAATCCCTCTAAATCCCCTCAAAGATCCCCAAAATCCCCAAATCCCCCAAAATCTCCTCAAATCCCCAAAATCCCTCAAATCTCCCCAAAATCCCCCAAACCCCCAAAATTGCCCCCAAATCCCCAAAATCCCCTCAAATCCCCCCAAAATCCCCCAAATCCCCCAAAATCCCTCAAATCCCCCCAAAATCCCCAAATCCCCCAAATCCCCAAAATCCCTCTCAAATCCCCAAAATCCCCCAAATCCCCCAAAATCCCCCAAATCCCCCAAAATCCCCAAAATCCTCCCCAAATCCCCCAAAATCCCCCAAATCCCCCCAAATCTCCCCCAAATCCCACAAATTCCCCTCAAACCCCAGAAATTCTCCCCAAATCCTCTCAAATCACCCCAAAATCCCCCAAAACCCTCCAAAATCCCCAAAATCCCCCAAATCCCAGAAATCCTCCTCAACTCCCCAACTCCCCTCAAACTCCTCCAAATCCCCCAAAATCCCTCAAATCCCCAAACCTCCCACAAATCCCCCAAATCCCCCAAATCCCCCAAAATCCCCCAAATCCCCCCAAATCCCTCAAATCCTCCCAAAATCCCCCAAATCCCCAAAATTCCCCAAAATCCCCCAAATCCCCTCAAACCCCCAAATCACCCCAAAATCCCCTCTCAAATCCCCCAAAATCCCCCAAATCCCCCAAATCCCCAAAATTCATCCCCAAATCCCCCCAAACCATCCCCAAATCCCCCAAATCTTCCCAAAATCCCCCAAATCCCCCAAAATCCCTCCAAATCCTCCAAATCACCCCAAAATCCCCAAATCCCCCAAATCCTCCCAAATCACCCCAAAATCCCCCAAAATCCCCTCAAATCCCCAAATCTCCCCCAAATCCCCAAACCTCCCCAAAATCACTCCCAAATTCCCCAAATCCCCCAAATCCCCTCAAATCCCCCAAATCCCCCAAAATCCCTTCAAATCCCCCCAAATCCCCCAAATCCCCCAAAATCCCCCCAAAATCCCCAAAGTCCCCTCAAATCACCCCCAAAAATCCCCCAAATCCCCCAAATCCCCCAAATCCTCTTCAAATCCTCCAAATCCCCTCAAATCTCCCCAAATCCCCCAGAACTCCCCAAATCCCAAAAATCCCCCCCCCGGACCCACCATCGCCGACACCACCCTGGCCACCATGACGGGGTCTCCGCGGGCGCTGTGGGGCATCCCCCGGCGGTCCAGGATGAACAGGCAGGCCTCCAGCACCCCGGGCTCGAACTGGGGGGGGCACCCCAAAAAATTGGGAACCCCCAGAATTCCCAAATCCCAAAAAACCCCGCGAAAATCCGCCCAAAAACGGGGAAAAGACGAAAAAAATGACCCCAGAAAAGGCGGTTTCGAGGCTCCCCCGCCCCCAATTTTGGCATTTTCACGCCTATTTTTGATGCTTCCAAAACTTTTGGGGTCCTCCAAAATTTTTGGCACCCCCAGAATTCCCAAATCCCAAAAAACCCCAAAAAAATCCGCCCAAAAACGAGGAAAATCCAAAAAAATCCCCCCCAAAAAAGGCGGTTTCGAGGCTCCCCCACCCCCAATTTTTGGGATTTTTACACCCATTTTTGAGGTTCACGACATTTTTAGGGTCCCCCAAAAATTGGGCACCCCAGAATTCCCAAATCCCAAAAACCCCAAAAAATCCACCCAAAATGAAGAAAATCCAACAAAAATCCCATTAAATGACCCCAAAAAAGGCGGTTTCGAGGCTGCCCCACCCCCAATTTTGGGATTTTTACACCCATTTTTGAGGCTTCCGAAATTTTTGGGGTCCCCAAAATTTTTGGCACCCCCAGAATTCCCAAATCCCAAAAAACCCCGAAAAAATCCACCCAAAAATGAAGAAAATCTGACAAAAATCCCATTAAATGACCCCAAAAAAAGGTGGTTTCGAGGCTCCCCCACCCCCAATTTTGGGATTTTTACACCCATTTTTGATGCTCCCAAAATTTTTGGGGTCCCCCAAAATTTTTGGCACCCCCAGAATTCCCAAATCCCAAAAAAAAACCAAAAAATCCACCCAAAAATGGGGAAAATCCAACAAAAATCCCATTAAATGACCCCAAAAAAGGCGGTTTCGAGGCTCCCCCACCCCCAATTTTGGGATTTTTACACTTGTTTTTGGGGTCTTCCAATTTTTTTGGGGTCCTCCCAAAATTTTAAGATCCCAGAATTCCCAAATCCCAAAAAACCCCGCGAAAATCCGCCCAAAAATGGGGAAAATCCAACAAAAATGGCCCCAGAAAAGGCGGTTTCGAGGCTCCCCCACCCCCAATTTTGGGATTTTTACACCCATTTTTGGGGTTCACGACATTTTTAGGGTCCCCCAAAAATTTGGCACCCCCAGAATTCCCAAATCCCAAAAAACCCCGCGAAAATCCACCCAAAAATGGGGAAAATCCAAAAAAAACGAGCCCAGAAAAGGCGGTTTCGAGGCTCCCCCACCCCCAATTTTGGCATTTTTACACCCATTTTTGAGACCCCCAAAATTTTTGGGGTCCCCCCAAAATTTTTGGCACTTCCAGAATTCCCAAATCCCAAAAAACCCCAAGAAAATCCGCCCAAAAATGAAGAAAATCCATCAAAAATCCCATTAAATGACCCCCAAAAAAAGGCGGTTTTGAGGCTCCCCCACCCCCAATTTTTGGGATTTTTAGACCCATTTTTGAGGCCCTCGAATTTTTTGGGGTCCTCCCAAATTTTTATGATCCCAGAATTCCCAAATCCCAAAAAACCCCACAAAAATCCGCCCAAAAATGAGGAAAATCCAACAAAATGACCTCAAAAAAAAGGTGGTTTCGAGGCTCCCCCACCCCCAATTTTTGGGATTTTTACACCTATTTTTGAGGTCCCAAAATTTTTTTGGGGTCCCCCAAAATTTTTGGCACCCCCAGAATTCCCAAATCCCAAAAAACCCTGAAAAAATCCACCCAAAAATGGGGAAAATCCCAAAAAAATGACCCCAAAAAAAGGCGGTTTCGAGGTTCCCCCACTCCCATTTTTGGGATTTTTAAACCCATTTTTGAGGTCTTCGAATCTTTTTGGGGTCCCCCCAAAATTTTACGATCCCAGAATTCCCAAATCCCAAAAAAACCCCAAAAAATCCGCCCAAAAATGGGGAAAATCCAACAAAAATCCCATTAAATGACCTAAAACAAGTCAGTCTTGAGGCTCCTCCACCCCCAATTTTGGGATTTTTACACCCATTTTTGAGGTTCACGACATTTTTAGGGTCCCCAAAAAATTGGGCACCCCCAAAATTCCCAAATCCCAAAAAACCCCAAAAAAATCCACCCAAAAATGGGGAAAATCCAACAAAAATCCCATTAAATGACCCCCAAAAAGGCGGTTTTGAGGCTCCCCCACCCCCAATTTTGGGATTTTCACACCCATTTTTGAGGCCCCCGAATTTTTTGGGTTCCCCCAAAATTTTTGGCACCCCCAGAATTCCCAAATCCCAAAAAACCCCGAAAAAATCCACACAAAAACCTCAAAAACCCCATAAAATGACCCCAAAAAAGGTGATTTTTAGGCTCTATTTTTTTGGAATTTTCCCCCAAATTTGGGCTTGGAAAATTTTTTGGGATCCACAAAATTTTTGGGGCATCCCTAAAATTCCCAAATCCCAAAAATCCACCCAAAAAAACCCTTTTTGGGTCAATTTTGATGGATTTTTGGGACCATTTTGGGTTTTTTTAAGGGAAAAATCAGAATTTTTGGGTCTTTCCCCAAATTTTTTTGGGGTTTCCCCAAATTTTTTTCCTCCCCAATTTTCCCCAAATTTCCCAAAATTCAAATTTTGGATGAATTTCCCAAATTTTGGGATTTTTTCCCTCCAAAATTTTCATTTATTTTAAAAAATTCATTTTAAAACCTCCCCTAAATTATCCCAAATCCCCCAAATTCCCATCAGGATTTTGGGATTTTTTATTTTCCTTTAAATAAAAATTTTTGGGGAATTTTCCCAATTTTTTTCTGAGATTTTTCCCAAATTTTTCCCTCCCAAATTTCCCCCTTTTTCCCCCCCCAAAAAAACCCCATTTTAAGTCGATTTTTGGGGCATTTTTAGAGCATTTTTTGAGGATTTTTTGAGATTTTTTTGGGCCCTTTGGGGTTTTTTGGGATGAAAAAATTCCAGGAATTTTTTGGGAATCCTTTTGGCGCCCCCTGCTGGTCCCAACCCCCTTTTTTCCCCAAAAATCCCAATTTTAAATTGATTTTTGGGGCATTTTTGGACCATTTTTTGACCATTTTTTGAGTATTTTTTGGGATCTTTGGGGTTTTTTGGGATGAAAAAATTCCAGGAATTTTTTGGGAATCCTTTTGGCGCCCCCTGCTGGTCCCAACCCCCCCTTTTTCCCCAAAAAAACACATTTTAAGTCAATTTTTGGGGCATTTTTTGAGCTTCTTTTAGAGTATTTTGAGTATTTTTTGGGATCTTTGGGGTTTTTTGGGATGAAAAAATTCCAGGAATTTTTAGGAATCCTTTGGCGCCCCCTGCTGGTCCCAACTCCCCTTTTTTCCCCAAAAAAACCCCAGTTTAACTCATTTTTGGGTGCCGATTTCGACCCTTTCCCTTGGGATTTTTCCCCGGGATTTTTCCAAGATTTCCAATTTTTTTTGGGAATCACCTGCCCGTAATTCCAGGAGCGCTCGGCGATCTGGTCCTCGGTGCCGTAGAAGATCCGGCCGGTGTCGTTGAGGACGTACTCGCTCAGCTCGCTCGTCTTCTCCATGTACACAGAATCCTCTGGGGACAAAAAACACCCCAAAATTCCACAAAAACTTCCCCAAAATTCCACAAAAATTCCCACAAAAATTCCCCCAAAATTCCACAAAAACTCCCCCAAAATTCCACAAAAATTCCCCCCAAAATTCCACAAAAATTCCCCCAAAATTCCACAAAAATTCCCCCCAAAATTCCACAAAAATTCCCCCCAAACTCACCAGGACACCAGGGGTTGAAGAGCAGCACCAGGTCATTTTGGGGCTCAAAGACACCCCAAAATCCTCCTTTTTTTCCCCTATTTTTGCTCAAATTTCACCCAAATTTCACCCAATTTTTTATAAATTTTCCCAAAATCCCAATTTTTCACCCCAAAATCTCCTCTCACCTGGGCACCAGGGGTTGAAGAGCAGCATGAGGTCATTTTGGGGTTCAAAGAACACCCAAAATCCTCCATTTTTCCCTCCATTTTCACCCAAATTTCGCTCAAATTTCATCAAAATTTTACCCAATATTTTTCAAAAATTGAATTTTCCCAAAATCCTGATTTTTCACCCCAAACTCACTTGGGCACCAGGGGTTGAAGAGCAGCACGAGGTCGTTTTGGGGCTCAAAAAACACCCAAAATCCTCCATTTTTGCCCGTTTTTTGCTCTAATTTCGCCCAAATTTTGCCAGAATTTCACCCAAATTTCCAAATTTTCCCAAAATCCCCATTTTTCACCCCAAAATGTTCCCCCTCTCACCTGGGCACCAGGGGCTGAAGAGCAGCCCGAGGTCATTCTGGGGCTCGAAGGGGGCGGCGTAGTCGCCGACCTCGGTCCTGGTTTTGAGGCTGAGCCGGTAGCGCCCGATGGGGGCGTCGGGCGGGGCTCGAAGCTCCACCCACAGGGCGTGGCCTCCCTCGGGCCCCGCCCCCAGCGTGTCGTCATCGACAGGCTCCGCCCTCCAGCCCGTGGGAGACTCCTCCCCCAGAGGGACCAGCACGTGGGTGCCCTTGGCCACCTGGGGGGTGGGGCCTGGGGAAGGGGGGGGGGAACCACTGTCATTAATTAATTAATCATTAATTAATTAATTAAAATAATTAATAAAATTAGTTAATAAATAATCACTAGATAATTATTAATTAATAATTAATGATTATTAATATTTGTTTGCTGATTAATTACGATTTAATTAATATTAATATTAATATTAATATTAATATTAATATTAATATTAATATTAATATTAATATTAATATTAATTACTATTTAATTAATTATTAAATATTAGTAAATAAGTATTAATCAATAATTAATAATTAATTAATAATTAATTAGTATCAATTAATTGTTAATAATTAATTTGTTTATGGGTTAACTAACTAGGACTACTGATTATTATAGTTAATAATTAATTAAATTTTTTTAAAAAATGGAGGTCATTATGGACGGCAAGCTTTAATTAATTCGTTATTAATAGGTTCCATTATTATTTATTTACCATTTATTTCATTATTCATTAACTAAAAATGTGAATTTATTTATTCATTTATTTATTAAAGCCCTTACAATTTATTTAATTACTAGCAAGTTTTAATTATATTTATCAATATTTATTAATTAATTAATGAATTTAACTAATTACCACCTTACCTAGGGCAAACCTTAATTAGGATCATTAAGTATTTTAATTAATTAATTAATTAATTAAGTAATCAATCAATCATTTAAAGTAATTAAGGTCTTACCCAGGGTACACTTTACTTATTTAAATCAAAATATTATTCATAATATTTAATTCAAAATTAAATAGTTAATCAATAGTAATTACAGTAATTATTAGTTTATTTACAATATACTTACAAATTAACCAGGAACCTTACCAGGGTGATTTTATAAGTAGATGATTAATAAGTAAGAATTAAGAAGTTATTAGTAATTCATAATTCCTAATTAATTAACAATCAGGAATTAAGGAGGCCTTACGGAGGGTGAGCTTTAATAAATAAATAATAAACAATTTTACTTATATAAAAAATATATAAAATTATAATAAATTATATAAGTTGTATATATTAATATATATAAAATAAAAATAATTAATAATTAATGAATTAATTTATTTACAACTCACTTAGCAGTTAACTAGCACCACTAATTATTTCCATCGATTAATCACTAAGAATCAATAAAGCATTAATAATGAACGAACAATTAATTAACCATCCCTTACCGGGGGCGACTTTTCTTTGCTCAATTAACGATTAAGGATTTGTTCACGATTAAATTATGACTCAGTTCTATTGGTTAATTAATTCATAGTTATTAATTAATAATTAATGAGTCATGAACTAATGAGACCTTACCGAGGGTGAGCTTTAATCATTTCATGAGCACATAATTAATAAATAATTCCTTTACGATTTCATGCTGACTTAATTAGGGATAACAGTTAATAATAATTATTAATTAATTAATTCCTAGTTATTAATTAATAATGACTAAATCCCTAATTAATTAACCTTACCAAGGGTGAGCTTTAATAATTTTATGACTAAATAATTAATCAATAATTCCTTTACGATTTCATGGTGACTTAATTAGGGATAACAGTTAATAACAATTATTAGTCAATAAAATCATAATTATTAATTAATCATTAGTGAATAATGAACTAACGAGGCCTTACTGAGGGTGAGCTTTAATGATTTCATGAGCAAATAATTAATCAATAATTCTTTTACGATTTCATGGTGACTTAATTAGGGATAACAGTTAATAATTATTAATTAATTCCTAGTTATTAATTAATAGTGACTGAATCCCTAGTGAATTAACCTTACTGAGGGTGAGCTTTAATCACTTTATTAGCAAATAATTGATCAATAATTCCTTTACGATTTCATGGTGACTTAATTAGGGACAATGCTTAATAATTAATAGTTAATAAATTTATAGTAATTAATTAATAATTAATTAATAATTAACCGATAAGGCCTTACCGAGGGTGACCTTTAATCATTTCATGAGTACATAATTAATCAATAATTCCTTTACGATTTCATGATGACTTAATTAGGGATAACAGTTGATAATTATTAATTAATTAATTCATAGTTATTAATTAATAATGACTAAATCCCTAATTAATTAACCTTACCGAGGGTGAGCTTTAATCATTTCACGAGCAGATAATTAATCAATAATTCCTTTACGGTTTCATGATGACTTAATTAGGGATAAGAGTTAATAATAATAATAAATTAATTATTAATTCATAGTTATTAATTAATAATGAATTAACCACTAATGAATGAAGCTTACCGAGGGTGAGCTTTAATCATTTCATGAGTACATAATTGATCAATAATTCCTTTACGATTTCATGGTGACTTAATTAGGGATAATGGGTAATAATTATTAATTTATTACTTAATTCATAGTTACTAATTAATAATGACTGAATCCCTAATTAATGAACCTTACCGAGGGTGAGCTTTAATCATTTCATGAGTACATAATTGATCAATAATTCCTTTACGATTTCATGACGACTTAATCAGGGATAACAGTTAATAATTATTGATTAATTAATTCATAGTTATTAATTAATAATTATAGAATCACTAATTAGTTACCCTTACCAAGGGTGAGCTTTAATAATTTTATGACTAAATAATTAATCAATAATTCCTTTACGATTTCATGGTGACTTAATGAGGGATAACAGTTAATAAAAATTATTAATTAATCAATTCATAGTTATTAATTAATAATTAAATAATCCCTAATTAATGAAGTTTACCAAGGGTGAGCTTTAATCATTTAATGAGCACATAATTAATAAATAATTCCTTTACAATTTCATGGTGACTTAATTAGGGATAACAGTTAATAATTATTGATTAATTAATTCATAGTTATTAATTAATAATTAATGAATCCCTAATTAATTAACCTTACTGAGGGTGAGCTTTAATCATTTCATGAGCACATAATTAATCAATAATTCCTTTACGATTTCATGGTGACTTAATTAGGGATAATAGTTAATAATTATTAATTAATTAATTAATAATTAATAATTAATGAATCACTAATTAATTAACCTTACCGAGGGTGAGCTTTAATTATTTCACTAGCACATAATGAATCAATAATTCCTTTACGATTTCATGGTGAGTTAATTAAGAATAACACTTAATAATTATAAATTAATTAATTAATCAATTAATTAATGATAATTAATTCCTAATTAATGAACCCCTAATTAGTGAGTGCAGCTTACCGAGGGTGAGCTCGAGGCAGAGCTGGTCGCTGCCGGGCCGGAAGGGGCGTGGCAGGACCACGCCCAGGTGGAAGGGCTGCCCCCTCCTCACCACCAGGGGGCGCCGCGGGAAGTCCTGCGTGTGGTGGGCGGGGCGGTCGCAGGCCACGCCCACCTCCAGCGACAGCGGCACCAGCAGCCCTGAGGGGGGGGAGGGGCTTGCGTTAACGGCAGCCATCTTGGGTTAACGGCAGCCATCTTGGATTAACAATGGCCATCTTGGAATAATGGCGGCCATCTTGGATTAATGGAGGCCATCTTGGATCAATGACCAGCTTGGATTAATGGCGACAATCTTGGGTTAAGGGCGGCCATCTTGGATTAAAGGTGGCCATCTTGGATTAATGACCAGCTTGGATTAATGACCAGCTTGGATTAATGACCAGCTTGGATTAATGACCAGCCTGCATTAACAGTGGCCATCTTGGATTAACGGCAGCCATTTTGCATTAATGGCAGCCATCTTGGATTAATGGCGGCCAGCTTGGATTAACGGTGGCCATCTTGGAAAAGTCACCATCTTGGATTAATGATGGTCATTTTGGATTAATGGTGGCCATCTTGGATTAATGACCAGCTTGGATTAACAACGGCCATCTTAGATTAATGGCGGCCATCATGGATTAATGGCGGCCATCATGGATTAATGACCAGCTTGGATTAGAGGAGGCCATCTTGGATTAATGACCAGCTTGGATTAATGGTGGCCATCTTGGATTAATGGCGGCCATCTTGG